TTCGAGGTTGGATAAGGGCAAAGGACACGCTTAGAGAGTTGCTAATTATCATTTTATTTTTAGTCTTTTGTTTAGCAGCGTTGTGTCGATCTTTTGTAACTTAACCTGGTATGAGGTAGGTTAGAACTTAAGTTAATTTTTGGTTGATTCAAAGASTTCCGCTGTAAACGGTTTTATTTTAGCCGTCTTTTGGAGTATTTATTTAGGAATTTGTTTCAGATTATGTAACATTCAAAAAAAAAATGAGGGTGTTACAAGTTGGTATCAGAGCTTTAGTTTAAGGTAATTAGGTTATGATTTACTTTGCCTAAGCTTAAACTGAGAGGATTGTTAGAAGCACGTGTTTATTGTGTATTAGTATTGCTTATCATGCGATTAAGTTTGATCCTACGTTACTACTTGACATAGTGTTCCTTTTATGACTTGTAGGAGACATGGTTCACACCATTTACACTAGGTCTATCAGACGCGGACGTGGACGCAGATACAGAACACGTAGGACACTTTACGGGCTAGGACCGAATAGAGGATCTATTGACAATCACTGCTCTAGTGCCAGACATGTTTCCGGCACCCGGTCCAGAAGCGATAGTCTGGCCCACACTAGTGAAGTGTCATCACGAGAGACCATCAGGCGAAGGACCACACCCGAGCCTTCGAAGGACTACACGCCCCGCACCCCTACACGTGAGGACATGATGGAGACTATAGAGACCTTGTGGCGCGAGAACACAAAGCTAAGAGAGAGGTTGACCCGAACTTTTGATGGGAATACTAGACTGAATGAATGGCTGAACAATCTTCAGCAGGCACATGTCGAACAAAGAGGAGCCCTAAACGAGCTAATTGTAGAGAATGCAAATTTTTTGGAACAACGTCATGCACTGATTTAGGATAAAGTTGTACTTGAGCAGGAGCGAAGAATTGTTGCTCACCCCGTAGGCGTTAGATTTAGAGACAGAGTTCACTTCTATAAGAAAATGACCATAGACTATGCTGGTGTAGTGAGGGGCTATTTCTCCGACTGGGTCCAATGCATCAAAAATGGCCCAAAGGCTAGTGTGTTGTGGCATTCCACGCCATCCACATCTTTTGAGGAGTGGTTGAGGGACCCTTATCTCCCTTATTACCCCGCAGATCAGTTTTAGACATAGAATCCTTTTGAAAGAGGGGAGAGAGAAAGATCTTTTGGGTATGTGATTTAATTGTGCGTGTCTAGATAGTTGATCGAATTTTCATCTAATCCAGTGCTTCAATGGATTTTTTTGAGCATTCACATGATTTAGAGATGTGTTTAGAATTATGAAGTATCCTATCTTTTGTAAGTAAATGGGATTATGTAATGTCTCTCTCTCCATGATTGTTTATTGACACGAAATATATATAGCTTACTGAGCATTATGCAATTTTCGACGTGAATTCCTTATTATGTATTTCGCTTATATATAGTGATTATATTATATATATATATAAAAGAAAATGTAATGTGTTATGTTTGACTTTAGAACCATGTTAAAACAATAATACCCTATTATGTCAGTATGGTTTCTCGTGGATCAACAGGGAACGCTCTCAATGGGGGAGGTACTAATGGCATAGCCCCACCAACAGTTCGAGGTTGGACACGGGCCCAAAGTAGCGGTCGAGGAAGTGTTCGAACCGCTAGTTCTAGTACGACTCCATCCGCACAAGCTAATTTAGTTATCGGTAGGAGTCAAGGAGGCCAGGGAGGAGAAAATCCCCTCACAAAGGAAATGATAGCTGAGCAAATGGCACAAGTCCTCCGGGATAATTGCCAAATATGATTAAAGCAATGTTGGGTGACAGATTTAAAGACAACGAATATGGAGAGGAGGAAAGTGTTCGACATGAGAACACTCAAGCCACTTAAAAGGTGGAAGTATCTTTTAAAGAGAAGGTGGAGTCGCCCACCAACGAGAGAACTGAATTGACACTAAAGGAGAAAGGATTTAGTTTTAAAACATTCAAAGGCACCGGGCCGAAAGAATTTAAGGGAATAGAGGGCCTAGTTGGCCTGATGAACTGGGTAACCAAGATGCAGAGTAGCTTCAAAATTTGTAGATGCGCAGAAGATCAAAAAGTGACCTATGCTSCTACAACCTTTGTGGACTATGCATTGCATTGGTGGGAGTCTGAGTGTGCAATCAAAGGTGATGAGGATATTGCTGCCATGACTTGGGAGCAAATGAAAAAGATGATGATGGATAAGTGCTGCACACAATCGGAGGTGAACAAGCTAGAATCGGAATTTTTTAGATTAAAGCAAGGTTCGTTGTCGGTTCAAGAATATGTTAACGATTTTCTTGAGAAAGCGAGGTTCGCCAGTTACCAGGTGGCTACCGAGGAGAGAAAGATATGTCGCTTCAAAGATGGCTTAAGAATCGAAATCAAACGGTATGTGGACATGACTAAACCGACCATATTTGTACAAGCAGTGGAGATGGCGAAGGTGGCAGAGGAGAACAACGCTAGGGAGAATTGTGATAGAAGAGATGCAAAGAGTAGATGGGAAGGATCGAACAAGTTCAACAAGAAACCAAAATGGACTCCGACTATGGCAAAAACACGAAGTGAGGGATTCACTATTCCTCCATGTAACAAATGCAACAAGAGACATAGGGGAGAATGTAGAGCGAGGAGCATGACATGCTACAAATGTGACAAACCTGGGCATACCACGCAAGAGTGCCCAGAAGGAAAAACTTGTTATGAATGTGGGGCTACGAGACATTTACGACCTGATTGTCCAAAACATCGAAATGGTGCGACACCCCATGTAAAGACAGTGAATAACGGATTTGGGAAGAGATCAGAAAATAGGAAAGAGCTACCTAAGGGACACGACCGAACTTACAACATGACTTTGGAGGAGGCCAAGGAAACACCCGACGTTGTATCTGGTATGTTCCCTATCAACAATGTGTATGCACATGTATTATTTGATTCAGGTGCAAATGGTAGTTTTGTGTCTACTACCTTCTGCCACTATCTGAATAGGAGTGCCTGTAGGCTAGACAAAACCTACACTGTAGAAACAGCCGACAGTAGTCAGTGTAAAGTAGACGAAGTATTTGATGAATGCACAAATGTTATAGATGGTAAGGATTTCCCTGTTAGGCTTATGCCAATGTGCTTAGGGGGTTTTGACGTGGTCTTGGGGATGAATTGGCTGTCCAACAATCATGCGCAAATAGTATGCAATAAAAATATGATCAAGATTCAAACTCCGGAAGGAGAAACATTTCATGTTTACGGTGATCGAAAGAAGTGTTGCGTATGGTTAATCAATGCAGTTAAGGCGAATAGGTGTCTGCGGAAGGGATGTGTGGCTTACTTGGCATCCACCATCGACGCCAAGCTCGAAAAGAAGGCAATACATGATGTTCCAGTGGTGAGGGATTACCCAGAAGTATTTTCGGATGAATTACCGGGAATACCACCAGAACGTCAGGTAGAGTTCCGAATCGATTTGGTACCAGGTGAGGCACCAATCGCAAGGGCGCCTTATCGTTTAGCCCCAACAGAAATGCAAGAGTTGATGAAGCAATTACAAGAACTCTTAGATAAAGGGTTTATCAGGCCAAGCTCGTCGCCATGGGGAGCACCGATTTTATTCGTTAAAAAGAAAGACGGCACAATGAGGATGTGGATCAATTATCGGGAGTTGAACAAAATCACGATATAGAACAGATATCCACTACCAAGGATCGATGACCTCTTCGATCAATTGCAAGGAGCCAGCTATTTCTCGAAAATCGATTTAAGATCAGGTTACCATCAGTTGAAGTTTCAAGAAGAGGATGTGTCGAAGACCGCTTTTAGGACTCGTTACGGACATTACGAATTTGTAGTAATGYCGTTTGGGTTAACAAACGCACCTGCGGCATTCATGGACTTAATGAATCGAGTTTGTGGACCGTATTTGGACCAATTTGTCATAGTCTTTATAGATGACTTTTGGATCTATTCGAAAAGTAAAAAGGAGCTTGAACAACACTTAAGGATGATTCTTGAATTACTAGCAAGAGAGCAATTCTACGCCAAGTTCTTAAAATGTGAGTTTTGGTTACATGAGGTACAATTCCTTGGTCACGTAGTCAACACGGAAGGGATCAAGGTGGATCCGGCTAAGATTGATGCAGTTATGAACTGGGAATCACCAAAGTCAGTATCGTAAATCCGAAGTTTTCTAGGCCTTGCCGGGTATTACCGAAGATTCATCCAAGATTTCTCCAAGATAGCAACGCCTTTGACAACACTGACAAAGAAGTAAGTTAAGTTTGATTGGGGAACGAAACAAGAAGAAGCATTTCAGACACTTAAGGAGAGACTAAGCACTGCACCGGTTTTATCACTACCGAAAGGAATAGAAGATTTTGTCGTTTATAGCGATGCATCAAAAATGGGTTTGGGTTGTGTACTAATGCAGCGAGGCAAGGTCATTGCATATGCGTCACGTCAATTGAAAAAACACGAGAAGAGATACCCAACTCACGACATGGAATTAGCAGCTGTAGTCTTTGCGCTAAAAATCTGGAGAGCAAATATTTGTACAGTACGAAGTGCATGGTCTATACTGATCATAAGAGCCTTAAGTACTTGTTTGACCAAAAGGAGCTAAATATGAGACAAAGGAGATGGATGGAACTACTTAATGATTATGATTGTGAGATTCACTACCATCCAGGTAAGGCAAATGTAGTTGCCGATGCACTTAGTAGGAAGGAGAGAAACGGACCAATCAGGGTTCGAGCCATGTGGATGAGTGTTAAAGTGGAGCTGCTAGACCGAATTCGGGATGTCCAGAAGGAAGCTTTACTCGAAACAAATATTAAAAAGGAGAGAATGGTTGGACAAGTTAAGACTTTGACGGCCGGACCAGATGGAATATATAGACATGGGAATCGGGTTTGGATTCCTAGTTTGGGGGACCTAAGAAATGTAGTGATGGATGAAGCACATAAGTCCAAATATACTATGCATCCAGGTAGTAATAAGATGTACAAGAATATAAAAGAAAGCTATTGGTGGCCTGGTATGAAAAGGGCAGTAGCTAGCTATGTGGGGAAATGTTTGACGTGCTTGAAAGTGAAGACAGAACATCAAAAGCCGCCTGGAATGTTGCAATAAATGGAGATCCCAGTATGGAAGTGGGATATGATAACGATGGATTTCGTCACCAAACTTCCAAGGATGGTAAAAGGACACGACGCCATATGGGTAATTATGGATCGACTAACGAAATCTTCTCACTTCTTACCGATCAGCGACAAGTATACATTAGAAAGATTGGCCCAACTTTACGTCAATGAGATCTTGTCGAGACATGGTGTACCGATATCCATTGTTTCAGATAGAGATGCTAGGTTTACCTCGAGGTTTTGGTCAAGTTCTCAACAAGAAATGGGGACACGGCTGAACATGAGTACTGCATATCATCCTCAAACTGATGGCCAGAGTGAGAGAACGATACAAACGCTAGAGGATATGTTGAGAGCTTGTGTTATTGACTTTGGGGTAGTTGGGACAACCACCTCCCGTTGATAGAATTTGCTTACAACAATAGTTACCATTCGAGCATCAAGGCGGCACCATTTGAAGCTTTATATGGCCGTAAGTGTAGAATTCTAATTTGTTGGGCAGACATTGGAAAAAGACAACTAGCTGGACCCGAGTTAGTCCAACAGACATCTGATAAAATAGTACAGATCAGGGAGAGGTTAAAGGTTGCGCAAGATAGACAAAAGAGTTATGCCGATAGAAGGCGTCGACCTTTGGAATTTCAGGTAGGTGATAAGGTCTTGTTGAAAATATCGCCATGGAAAGGGGTCGTAAGATTTGGAAAGAAAGGTAAGCTAAGTCTAAGGTATATCGGACCATTTGAGATAACTGCAATAGTAGGAGCAATTGCTTATCGGTTGAAACTACCAAATGAGTTAGGTGGTATTCACGATACCTTTCATGTGTCGAACATCAGGAAATGTTTAGCTGACGAATCAACTGTTGTGGATTTGGAAGACATAGAGGTTAACGACAAGCTCGCTTATGTGGAAGAACCAGTTGATATATTGGATAAAAAGACGAAAAGACTAAGAAACAAAAGTATACCATTAGTATTAGTTAAGTGGAAATTCCATAAAGGTGCAGAAATGACGTGGGAACCGGAAGAAGAAATGAAAGCTAAATATCCTCAATTGTTTTAGCGAGTATTAATTCCGAGGACGAAATTTCTTGAAGGAGGGAAGAGTTGTAAAACCCAAAAATTTCGAGGAATAAATAATTTTATCTTCATTAATATTCTTTTCATTTTTGAATTATAAAACACACGCACGTACTTATATATATATATATATATATATCACGCACGTACTTTTATATATATATATATATATATATATATTAAAGGAATAAATAAATTAAAAGAAGTTTAAAAATCGGACCAAAAGTGAAAGAAAAAGTCAAGACATGGGTGAAATTTGTAAATTCGCGATAGTTAAGGGGTCAGGTCAGATGTAAACAGGTCCAAATCAGAAGGACCTGTTTTGTAAATTTGTCAGATCTGAAATTTTCAGAAACGTGAAAACGACACTACGTTTGAAGCCTTCTATTGGTCTGAATATTCAACTATTATGACAAAAAAAATTACATATACATGTAGACAACACTTTGATCTACATGTTTGCTTCAAGAAAACCGAACTTTCGTTGAGAATCGGGAGAGAAATCGGAGCTCGAAAGTCATCATCCGAAATCTTCGTTTTTCCTCGATTAGAGGTAAAATACTCAACTAAAATTCATGTTCTTTATATGGTTAGCTTCGTTTTTAGTCCTCTATAGAACCCTAGTAGCCTTACGTTCCAGATTTGGTGTTTTATGGTTTGATTTTGAAGTTTAAAGTTTCGTTCGGTTTAATTTAAAACTAAAACTTTAAATGGGTAAATGGAACTCATTTCTTAATGAAAATTCGTGTTCTTTATGTCAAAGTGTTGGTAAAAATATTACCAAGAGGTTGGTGCAAAAAGAATGAGGAAAAAACGTCAAGAAACGAGCAATTTTCGAGGTTGAAAAGCTTCAATCTTGCAGCCATGGCTGTTGTCATCTTACTGCTGTTGGGCCTGTTTGATGCTGTTGGGCCTGTTTGACGGGCTGGTCGACCAGACCCAATATCGTGTCCGTCTACCTTAAAAAAAATAGGATAATGCATGCTGAGGGCGAGGCTCGAACCCGCGACCTCATCCTAGAAGCATCAAGCATTAACCAATAGGCTAGGCATGCATTTTGTTGTTTTATTATGCACTGATATTGTTATTATACTTTAAATATTTAAGTTTCAGAAATTAGCATTTAGTCCCTTCAATTTCTAGAAATAATTTTCTCCATAATAATTTTATGAGACTTTCATTAAGTTTGTTTGTATTTTGTAAAATGCAAATTTTGACCTCATTTCGATTATTCATCTCGTTTAGTTACCAAAATGACCCTATAACTGGAAAATCGGTATTTTAGCAATACCTTGCTTATTTGCTTAAAAAATTTACCGAAATAAAAATATATCTTGGGGATTGGTCTATGAGCTTCATTTTTTAATATTATATTATTATTTTTATAAAATTACCAAAATGCCTCTAAAATTAAAGAATGTGTATTTTGAGAAATACGTGACCATTTTGCTTTATAAAAATACCGTCAAGGTTGAAATTTACTACTTTAACTATGTAATTATTTGGGGATAATTAGAATGAATTATTTAAATAATTTGATGATTTTTTATGAGATTAAAGCGTGGCTCTTGAGTTTATATATATATATATATATATATTATATATATATATATATATACCGTCTAGACATTTATTTTATAAAAGATGATGTTATGGAGTTATAAAATAAATAATCGACTATACGAAGCGTTACTCGAGTTGTAAATTTATTACGACGCTTTTAACTCGAATAGGTAATTATTAACATGTCTATCATATAATAGATAACTTAATAATCACGTTTGTGATATCGTTTTAAGATATATGGCTAGACGATACATCTTATGTCAGAACTCACGGTTCCTATAATTTCAATTGATGTAAGGAGCGTTTTTAAGCGTAGTTGACCAAGGTTGATCCTAGTCGACGTAGTTGACCGTAAGTTGACTTTTATGTTAGCGTTTGGGATAAATTAATCATTTATATGTTATTCGCTATTATAAATTGTAGGTTACCAGTCAGCGACGTTAGTTAAGCAACCTTCGTTATCAGGTGAGTCTTCATGAGATTTCACTGGGATGCATACCTAAGTACAAATTATTTGTGCATGATATGAATTGTTGATGTTGTGTACGTATACATGATATTTCAATTACATACATGTTATGATATATTTTACATGTATGTTATTTTGTGAATTGTTACATCCTATGTGTTTAATTAGTTTTCGAACAACTCTAGCATGCTATTTCATATTAAAGTTTTATGATTTAAGGGTGGGCATTTGACCAGTAAGTCACGACCAATATAAAATACGACCCGGATAAGTGGGTGATCAAATAAGAATGACATATCAAC